GTGTGGTGAGGGTCGCACAACAGAGCGAGGCTCCAAATTAAGTGCGCCCTATATCCCACCCATCCCACCCCAGGGGAGGACATCCATCACACAGTAATCTCGTGTGTGGGAAATTAACGTCTCCTACCCCAACCCTGCAGGAGACGGGACCTCCATTTATTCGTCCCTATCCGAGAAGACTAGAATATCTAACCATTTGTTGATGTTATAGAAAGGTAGCAAATTCTTCTGTCATTTTTAGACCTTGAGTGTTGGTCCGGCCGGGGCTCGAACCCTCGACCTCCCGCACAACAGTCCAGCGGTCTATCCATTAAGCTAACCGGGAGGCGGTTTTGCAGTATTTCAGGTCATCAGTCAATCCGCGAAACCAAGAGAATAGGGACTTTAAGCAAACCACGACGGCTCCTTTGCAAAACAACAACGTGAAATCACCAAAATTTGCTTCGTCTGCGAAGCGAAACCGCGGCGGCAAATTATTTTAATTTACATTTGGAACTCAACGCAACTTTTATGTGATATGTTGAGTTTGAGGTCTGGCGCCCTATGAGACGGTAAACACATGCAGCCATTTTCGAAATTCCAGCTAAACGAAGAAACTCATTTTTTAATCGACGTCTTCCGTGGCGTTGCCGTCCTGACTGCTTAAAGTCCCTAATAAAATCTCTTGGCAAGAAACAAATCACTCAATCCGTTTGATGTGTTTTTTTTTTATGGGAATCTACTAATACAACAATGCTAAGTTAAAATATCGAGATGAAGTACAACTCCCAAATTCTATATTAAGAAACAGGGAACCTCGTAAACCTCACCGCACTGACGCAGTAACACCTACCAAGAAACTGAAATTCCATGGATGTTGCGCTGAGCTTTACAGTAAACCATTTGTCCACCTGTCATCAACCCTTTCTACTTCTAGGATCTCGTTAGTAATTCTCCTTGCTGTCACACAATCCTTGTGATGTTCGTTCGAAGAATGACGTATTGAAGGTAATGGAGCAACAGATGATCCACTGATTGATATTTTTCTTTATTCTCATCATTTTTCTGCTTGTCATTGAAGTAAAATTATAAGGAGAAACTCTCTCTTGATCACTAATGGCAGTTAAAAGGTTAATAAGCTTCTTTTTTTCTCGTCTCTCAAGCCAAAGCATTCTGCACAGAACTGTCGAGATATCCTCGCTCCTGAAATTCTTCTTTGACTAAAAAGTTTACATATGTGATTCTTTAGATGAAGACAACATCATTACCTGTCGATGGTTGCATGTTCTTTTCAGTGAGTGAAGTTACGACCCACAAGTAATCATGGAAATTTAAGCGACCTTCTTTTGGGTTTGTTTGCTTTATTTTAACAAACTTGTATAGCTGATTAGAGATTACTTCACAAGTGAGATGTAATGATAAATCTGTCACACAATTGGATTTTTAAACTTCTATGAACAATCGCTACAAAATGTAGTGAATTGGCCATGTGTCTTAATGAATTATTTGGTTTTATCAAATGAGTTGAAAATGTAAATTGGCCAGTGTAAAGATCTTTTGAAAGTTTGAGACAAGTAGCTTTAAGTTTAATAAGGAACTCTGTACGGTGACCAATTTACATTATCAACATAGGTGGTGAAACCAAATTATCTTGTAATACCCCCAGAGAGATGGAAAGCACTGTAAATTAGTGGAGAAAGTGTTTTAGGAACTGGATGTTTTTTAAAAAGGTATCGTCATGTTTTTTACTGTGACTACTTTCGTGTGGATAGACAAGGGCAGAAAAAAACACCAGAGCAACACATTTTCTCAGGGAAGATGTATCTTCAAGAAACCTCACTGAGGATTCATGCGCAACCAAGATTCCTAATCACTGAACCTTCCAACTTCTCCCCTAGACCCAAGGTTTACAGAGAAGACTTATCGACATTTGCAAAAAACAGGCCTCGGATACGAATTTTCCGTTGGTTCAGTAAAGTGAATAGCCTTTTCCTTCTTTTAAGAGTATATTTAACAGAATCATATCTAGATGTAATGGGAAGTTCACAAGGGAACTCTTTAACATAACTTGACACTTTCTACCACTCTCTCTTTTTCAATATAACCAACTAATGCTTAAGGACGTCTATATTCTTAAAGAGTTCGGTTACTCTCGTGTAAATAGTTCTATTAATGTTCATTCCAGTTGATAAATATCTGTTGATAACTGAAGTGTTTCCTCTTATATTACTCTGAAAATTATTTTCACAGAAGAAGTTCACAGTGTTCCAACTGCAAAGTGTGTTCTTACGAATTCCCCAGTAGAATCGATTGGGTGTTCACCTGCAGTCCCTCCTCTCGAATTTGCTTTGGAGTCTAATCACTGTTCTGAGTCACAAGTTGGAAATCTGTATTGCTGGGGTAACGGCAAGAAGAGTTCATTGGTAAAATCTAGCGGTTGTTCCCTATATTGGACACTAGTCAGCTAGCGTTATCTCGTAGAACTTCCTAGAAGAAACCTGTCAAAACACACAACATAAAACTTAGTAACCCTCTGCATGAAAGCAACAGAACAGATTTTGCAGGCTTTATAACGTGATAAAGCCACGCGGGATGTTGGGAAAACACGAGGAAAGCTTATCAATCACGAGCCAAAAGTGAGTGATTTATAAGCTTTCCTCGTGTTTTCCCAACATCCCGCGTGGCTTTATCACGTTATAGAGCCCTGAAAAAACATGCGTTCTATTGCTTTTATGACATAAATAGTTACATACAGGCTCGGTATAACTTGATAAGGCATCTGCTTGGAAACTAAATTGACCAATCAGGCGATGCGTACTTTGTTCATTATGTTATGAATATATATAGTTGTCGGCTAATTTTTTTAGGTGACTTCTCCCGAAAAGATATACTCCCTCTCAAACATTGCATGTCCAGGGTAATCCACTCGTACATTCCACTTAAAATTTTAATACACTGTCAAGCAAACAGGTATTGACAATTTAGTTCGAAACTTCTCAGGATAAAGAATCAAGAAATTTTTTGATGGATTAAAAACACAACGAACATCTCTTGAGCATAGTAATTATACTGATAATCAATAATTATTTTGGTCTTTCATTATGTCTTTACCATTCATTCCTGCATTTTACGGCCTCCTTTCGAACAAGTCTCTTCTTATCATCAACTGAATCAGCTAGCGCTCTACATACTTTCGTTTTGTACGGGTAAACCTGCCAGAACAGAACGGATAATGTATCAAAATTGTAAAAACATGACATATGGAAAGCAAAACATGGAAGGCTGAATAATGTGTAAAAGAAACAAAATGTAAAATGAAGATTACCACGTGGTGAGGTAAAGTTGTCAAAGCTCCAAGACACTTGAGAGCTTCCATTCTAACTTTCTGTAAATAAACACAAAATGAAGTTTTTTTTTTAACATTAGCAAACCAACATCAAAGGCTTGAATCAACAAAATCATGCCTCGCTCCTTCACTTAGTTATCACAGAAAACCTTAAAATTTTCATTTTTTTCCTTAGTTTTAAAAGTCTCCAAAACGTCAGGTTGCTGTATCTTAAGACTCCATTGCTCTAGGAACTGCCGAAAACCTTGTGACTAGAGAATTACCAGAAGTTAAGAGGTACATCAACCAGCAAATTGTTGATCAATTGCAGCAACATGCACTTAACCAGAGCAACGTGGACATCCCTCTCGCTTGGGTGGCCTATCAGATAACAAGATTCACTGCCCGAACAAGAAGTCAGCCCAATCAAATTCATTAAGTGCCGTATGCCCCGCTATCGCTGTAAGAGCGATCCGCTTCCTCCCTTTTTGTCGACGACTGAGCAAAAACTGCTACGGATGAGAGAGGAACATCACAATTACCATTGAGAGTTGAAACTGTGTCAAACCCAGGAGCATGGGGACCAGTGAAGTCACTTGACGAGCGATAATCTCTGGCGCATCAAACGCTAGTGAGTACATGGTCTGTAAAGTGGACAGCTTTAAACTCTGTTCATCACATGACAAGGACTGAACCAACAGCGGCATCAACTACAGCGAGCAAAGAAAATATAAAGTATCGTAAACCATGGTCATTCTCAATTACAACGACACAGGAGAGCGGATCTTTAAAAAGTGTCGTAAGACCAAAAGCAATATAATCACAAAAGCCAATCAGAACAAAGGAAAATGTCAAAGGGAGCCAATAAGAACTCAAAACCCTGAAGCGCGGGAAAACGCGGGCGACCGAGTCACGTATGGTTTTAGTTTTGAATCTAATTGGCCTAGAAAGTGGCGCGAGTTTTATGGACCAATCACAGAGAGGAATAAATCAAAACCAAAGCAAACCCGGATTACTTTCGACTCTCATTTGAAAATGACTCCAAATGCAAAGCTCAACGAGTAAGATTTGTCACTCACATTTGGTACTTCACTGAGCAGAACCTGTTTAGGTATCCACTGTAACAGATGAGACAAGGCACAGAGGTAATGATGCTTGAATTCTACACAACCAAAAAAAAAAAAAAAAACAGGGAGAGGACGATAAGTGCATTTGCAAATATGTTTTGGAAAGTACAAATTGAACTTACAACGCTAACGGTTCTTTTCCTATCCCTTCTTTTATTCGAAATAACCGACCCTAACCAACCATCGATTAAGTCTTGGTAAGACTTACACCCCCCTCCCCCCTCCCACCTCACTCCTGCTGTTGCTGCAATAAACCAATGCTAAAACCAAGGGATAAAAAAGAAGAACGAAATTCAAATCAAATCGGAGTGATATTATACATAACTGAAGAACCTGAAGAAAAGTGCTATTTCAATTAAGAAAAGTTGATCAGCATTTATAAGTCTAAAAGATTAGTTTACATGCATTGAAATCTCTATTGATCACTTTTCTAGAATTCTCCTTAACCGGAACAGCTCGTGACTTTTTAAGAATTCTTTCTCCCATCCCACCTGGCTCTGCCGAGTGAAATCCTTCTATTAACTTGGGAGACGTCTCCATAAAAAGTCGCTGACGATACATCATCTGTTGACCGCAAAAACGGAGCTACTTCTTATTCAAAAGTTGAGAATATCCACCTTTCAACCTTGCACCATATTCCATTCTTAATGTAAATTCTACACAGAGGCCACCCAGAGGATCTCACTGCTCTTAGAACATTTACCAAGGAGGCAAGGACCCTGCGCTCCAATGTGGTTGGCTGTGGTACAATACATTCCGAAATATTTGAAGCATTCACATTTTCACAGTCAATGAAACGACAACGAAAACATTACTGTCATTGCTATACATGCGAGAAAGTTAAACACCTACGAGACTAGAGTACCTCGAAGAGAAGTGGAGTTCCACAGAAAACGAATTGCATTCTTAATTCTTTCTTAACTGCTCTTGGAGTTGAGTGAAATAAAAGAAAATCTCAAGTTCATGTCTTACCTCGAGATAATTTCATTTGACTAAACATAAATCTAATGCTTACCCTGTAATTCACGTGCATTTTAATGTTCATAACCTCTTCATAATCCGCCATGATGATATAAAAACCATCTCCTGCTACACGTCCGACATTTTTATCAACTAATAAACTCATAATCTGCCGAAATACAAAAGTGTGAAAGGCACATTAGACACGTTTAGTCATCAAAACAAGCCTCTGATTTCCAAACTAAGCTGAAAAGATTTCTTTGAATATAACATGAAAAGAGAATGCAAAGAAGTTTTAAATATAAAAAAAATACTCAACTTACCTTATCAATAAATAAAGGCGCCAACGGATGAGACCGAATGACCAAGGCTTTTGTCAACTGCAAAGAAGAATCTTCATTAACAAATACAGAATCAAATGGCACCGTATGGTTACTTTAAAAGCTTGGTTACAGTCATCATGGGTTTGGCTAGGCCTGCTGTGCTTATAGGCTTGAGTTTCGCCACACTAGAGTAACAGCTGGGATAAACTTTGAAAAAAATTACAGGAAATTAAGTGGTGACACTTCCACCAAATGGCTCTTTGATTACTGTTTTCTTTGGTTGAATTGGAATTTGGAGCGTCGGCTTCACTTTTTAGCATTGATCAGTAATTTAAGTATCTAATCAATCTTAAAACACTGTCCAGTAAACAAGCTACGAGAATCACATATAAAAGAGCGAGCGAAGAATTCAAACCCAATAGAAGACTAAAAGAATAATATAGTTCGTTTTTCTTCTTGACAGGCTTCAAGATACCTTGAACGTTAAAAAAGGGAAAATTGACTCTAACACTCCTTAATGACTGAGCAATCTTTAATTTGCATCCCTCCAGTGACTTTCTCCAGCAACTTTCACATATGAGTACCCTTTCCGTATTTGTGTTTAATCACCTTTTACTCAAGAAATCATTATATCATACCCAAAGCCAAGTTATGGTGGCTCGTTTCAGTGAACCCTCTTTCTCACTGGCTTGCCATATCTTGCTAACCAATCCATTCACTGCTGAGGTTAATTCTTCACCTGAAGTTCGTAACCACAAATAAATAACTACAGTAAATATAACAATGAATTGGGAATGGGAGTGGTGTACAATCGCACCTGTATTTAGCGGTCACCCACGGGAAATGGCCGGGTGACCACCACAGACAAGTAAACGATGAAAACGCCGTTTTATGCCATGATTGATCACTTGATATAAAAAAAAACTCGCTCAAAAACAGTACTAACATTGATTTTGGGATATAAACATGGATTCAATTTTACTTTATTCTTAAGTTTTATTTGGGTAGTTCCCGCGCTATAAATGACCATTCAATACAGGTAAAGGACAACACAAGTAGGCTGTTAGGACTCAGGAAAAGGGTGACCAACACCGCTTAATTAATAGAGGTGACCACTTTGTAAGGGTGAACATTACAGTGATTAAGGTAGAGGAAATTCGGGTCTTTGAACACTGACCGCTCAATACAGGGTGATCGCCTAATACGCTCCCGCTTAATACAGTTTCTACTGTAGTTATGAGAAGGGGTGGGCGTCAAACCCAGGAGCATGGGGACCAGTGAAGTCACTTGACGAGCGATAATCTCTGGCGCATCAAACGCTAGTGAGTACATGGTCTGTAAAGTGGACAGCTTTAAACTCTGTTCATCACATGACAAGGACTGAACCAACAGCGGCATCAACTACAGCGAGCNGAACAACAGAACTATTCCAGACGTATTTTGTTAAAATTTGTGGCAAAAAGTTTGAATCAGAGGCATAAGTATTTAGTTACAATTGGATTTCTGTCTTATTGAGTACAATGAGTCAAAACCCAGCAACTAGAATCCACAGTAAAAAAAGAAGAGAGAGAGAACTCAACTGCGGTAGATAAATTAATGTATGGAAAACAATAGTTTTCATGTATGCCAGAGCTCAAAATCTCATTGGTGGAGAATCAAGAAAAGCTGAATTGCAATGTTGTGTATTAGTAAGAACTGGCTGCAAAGGTACACTTCATTAATTCTGACTCCAGCTAACATTCATTCGCTTGCTGGAGCGTTCATGTTTAGTTCTATCATCCTGTCATTTTTTTTTTCTCCTCTCTTTCTTCCTCCGTTGTTTAATTTTTTCTCCTTTCAACTGTTTCTCTCCTCTGTACAATCTGTTGGTCACACGTTCGTTTGATCTCTAGCTAGTTCGTTCATCCGTTGAAAACTAATAGCAGCGATACGGGACGTGTTGAGGAAGCTTATTAATACTTAACCTTTATACAATAACAAACATGAAACAGATTAATTGTCCATCACCGTGGTTAGTGTTCACTGCATAGCTACACATAGTTTACCTTCAGGTAGCTTGTTAATTATCCCAGCCAGGCATTGGGCCCCACATTCCGCACTTCTGCTATGATCACAATGACATGCTATTTGCTGAAGCCTGGGAATGAGAACTGAATGGCGTGGGACAGCAACCTGATGATATCAACAAAAACTACTTTGGTTCCATCAAACATTTACGAGAGCTGATCCAAAGCAGGTACAAGGATGACCAGAGAGCTCGGGGTGGGTTATGAAGGCGCTAACCATCATTCTAGCACTTCAACATTGTTCTAAGACTAAAACCTTGGTAATCACAGCAGCCAATCAGAACGGGTGGAAACATTCCAAGAAGCCAATGAAAACTCAAAGCCAACACACGTAAACAGCCCCAAGAAAGGGACACGCAAGTGACTAGGCCATGCTTAGTTTCAATACATGTAATAATAATGATAATATTTCGAAAATAATAATAGTAGTATTAATAACTATAATTAGTATATACCACACAAGTGAATAATACTTTTCGTGCACACTGATTGGCTAATTCGGAATTGAATAGCGAGTACTAATCACCTACGAGCAGCCAAGGAGAAAAAATGGGCGTCAGGTGTTTCATTTCCGACCACTTTTTGGTATATTAAAAGTAAAAGACAAATTTTTTGGTATCTGTAGTATATACCAAGACAACTATTATTCACCGCAGTGACGATAAAAGTGGTGGATATTTTGCTTCGTGGCTCGGTAAATATCCACTTCTATCCACTTCAACTTAAGACAGACTAATCACTTTAGATATTTAACTGTTATCAATGAAAGCTCTGTCAGTTTTACATCTTGGTTTGAAGAATGGGGTAAGTGATGCAGGCCCGGATTACAACAAAAACTCAATTGAAATTTACTTCACACAAGCTTGCGATACAGTGATGTAAAGCTAACTAACCTCCCGTCTTGCAGAGCATAAGGTGGCTGTTAACAGGGACACAAGTTGAGTTTGTTCCCAGGATGATGTGGGCTGAAAAAAAAAAAAAAAAACAACAACGAATTCATTAAGAGATAAACACATAATGACTGTACAAATCTCATGTTTACATATTGATAAGATGAACCAAACGTTTACCTCAAATGGCGAAAATTTTTTTTCTACTGTTGCTTGGAGAAAGGAGGATTTTCCATCAAGATATATCCCAACAAAATCTTCGAGAAGATTATGTGCCGCTCTATGAAAAATAAATAAATTAATAAGACAAAAACACAGGACAATATGAGGTAAATGACATCAACGTCGATATTAGATAAAAACAAGGAAAAATAGAAAGTACCAGACAAAATAAGCAAACTCGACTGAGCCCCTCTGTGTGTCAAAAAGTTTGCATCAATTACTTTTTTGAAACACACTGCAGCTATGGAACAACTTCTGATTCAAATTTCACAATACAATAAACCATAACCCTTGATGGCTGCTGGGTAAAATTTTTAGTAAACCCACTTTGATTTGACTAAATGGAAAGAGTCCACAATAAATGAATTCACTTGTCCAGTAACTACTCAAAAGTATGAAACTGTAAGCAACACCTACTCAATGTCTAGGTTACTAGCCACAGTCCTCAAAATGGTGGCAATGCTGTCTAAAACATCCTTTGAAATGGCTCTAGTCATTCCTTCTTTACAATCTGCAAGCCAAACGGGTGAAAAATGTTACTAAATAGAGAAGAACATACACTATTTGCAAATAATAAATTACTAATTGTCTTCCAGCAGAACCAAAGAACATTGGATTTCACTGGCTGTCAGAAATGACAAGACTAACAACATCAACAATAAACTTTTAAGAATTCAAAATATCTTGATCAATAATTACTACTCAAAGCTGATTCGAGAACAATCTTCATAATATCAGGAACAAGTGATTGTTTGAAGTATGCAGCTGAGGTGATTCCTTTCTGAATTGAACCTGATAAGACAAACAAAAATCAAATTGTTAAAACAGATTAAATACAAACTTCCACAAAATACCAAACCAATCATATTCATTACTGTTACAAAGGGTTGAAAATGTATGTTGATGAAATAGAACAAATACAATAAGTTTTTTTTTTGCAATGATCACAACATCCTTATCTGGTATTCTAGAAATGAAAATTTCCAATTGCCTCGAGAGCAATCTATGATGGTACAGCCTGGACACTCTATGATTGGTCTGAAAGACTTGCATCTCTCCCTCTCTCAGCCAATCAGATGCAAAACTAAAACGAAAAAAACCTCACACACTCACAATCCTTCACTTGAAGCAGTTCACTTGTTTTTATCTTTTTTGAGCTCTCAATGGTTCCTTGTGACTATTACCTATGTTCTGGCTTGCTGTGATGTTCTTTGGTTTTGGTTTTATAACATAGAATTAAAATACAGGTTTGTTCTTCTTCTTGCCTCAAGACTCCAACAAAGACAATTTATACTTTACTGGAAGATCTTCCATGTTTCTATGTTGATATCATCATTAAATTCAATGTGTACTCAGGGAAACAATCAAAGAGTAAAGGAAAGTATAAGACGGCAACAGCAGAGAGTAGATTAATAATTTTGAGCTTTTGTTTTGCACCATTTAAGGTGTTCAATACAAAGAACAAAACAAAACCACAACAAAGTAAAAAAAATACATACCTTCCACAATATTCAAAATACACAGAAAGACTGCACAAACTTGGGACAGAAAGTCTTCGTGAGAATTCTCCTCTGAAACCAGTTTAAAGTTCTCTTAAAAACTATAAGCTTATAAAACATAAATCCATACAAACAAACAACAGCGAGAGTGATGTTGACAGCACTCAATCATAAAATACAATACAAGTGAAACTTCAAGCACCAAACAATGCTCTTGGGAAAGACTTCTCATGATTGCAATGTCATCTCCTCAAGGAGGAACTTAGAGAGGATACAGAGTGACATTTGGGGTCATTTTGAGCATAGAAAAGAACAATTTTATGAGATTGAAACCATGAAATAATTTTAAGCAACTGAAGGAAAAACAACCACCACAAAGGAATGAATTTGCCAAAAGTGTACAAATATAGTTGAGGATGGCGAGGGTCAAGACAGATTCTAAATGACACACTTGAAAGTTTAGGCCAGATTTTAAAAATGACTAAATAGTGTCATGGCTTTTAAAATAGGCGGTAGAGGAAAGTTTTGTGACACCTATTAAGCTGCCCCTTAAGCTTACAAGTTATTACATTGCACATAGGGTGGGAAGTTCACATCTGTAAGTTTGATATATAGGGAGACAAAAATGTGTGCACTAGAGGGAGGTTGTTTTGTAACAGGTAAAACCCCAATTAGTTCAAAGCTGCAGCATCCCCCCTCCTCCAAGGTGATCCCGCGCATATGACCATTGTCTGTTCCCTGGGTGTGGGAAGTTTGCCACAAAAGGCCCTCCTGCAGCTGAGGAATTTGAACTGAAAGTGTTCATTCCCTCCAGTGGTATACATGTCTTGTTTTCTTTAATATGAAAGAATAACTTTAAGGTTATACATTTGTTCTTTTAAAGGGGCATTTGACCATCAAATCTGGCCCTTAGATAGCACATTTGAATGCAGATTTAGCCAAGAAGGGTGGGAAATTGAATGAACCAATCTTCAAATGCATGCTGGTTCGTGGGGGGAGGGGAAGTTGAAGCTTTAAACTGATGGATGCATAAGGCCAAAGCAAGGGCTCCAAGTCTGATTTATTCAATGTGACATATGAAATATCTTTTTCCAGACACTCACCATCACATAAGAACTGCACATGTTCAACAAGCCGTGGGATGACTGCATGGATGATTGACTCCTCTGTGCACACAGCCCCCAAAGTACTAAGGACACACTGGTGACTAACAGGGGTGGTCAAGGTTTGATTGCCATCTATATCCATAGCTGACCCTTCCTCTGAGAAAAAAATTATAGCATTTATTTGAAAGGATGAAAAATATGGTATCTGACATCTGATAGACTACTTGATCCTCCCTCCAAATTGTCTTGCTTCCCTAAGTGAAACTGAAAGAAGTAGTTGTGGCAATAAAATTCCACTTTTAAAAAGCAGTAAGTCAAGGCCTCTCACAGTCTCTCTTAAAATCACAAAGAAGCTATACATGCAAGTGGTAAGATGACAGAGAAATAACAGACTGTCACACATGCTAAGTTTACTCAGTCTTTTCTTTAGCAGTAGCTGTCTCAAGTGTCATTTTACCCATCCTTCTTTTTGCAGACATGTACACAACAACTTTGGGATTTATTGCAGTTTCAGTCAATAACAAAATTTAGTTTTGGAATAATACCAGTTTTAAGATGCATCTCCATCAGGGGGAGCAGTGTGGAAATGATAATGGCAGGATAATTTCTGGATAACTGTGACAATGCAGCAGAGCTAATATGGCTGAAAACAATAAAGAAAGATACTTATGGAGTTCACGAAACGCAATAGTATATTATTGGAAGGCAAGAGGTAAAACATTTAAGTTCTTAATAACCACAGCCCATGTTTAATGGTCTTGCTCACCTCTAAGTACAAATGCACCTTCAGGCTCAATGGTTGAGAATTGTAGTGATTCCTTTTGGGGGCTATATTTTTTTTCTCTTTGTATCAAGTTCGTGATAAAAATGAACAACCCCCTTCTGTTTATAAAACCAATTTATAATCAATAAGAAAAAAATTTTGAAGCTACATAATTTGTTGCCTTAATTTTTATCAGACTTCTTTCATAAAGGTGAGTACCGCTATGCTTGTTGATCTTTCTATAAGCACATTAATAATTAATGGAAGTCACTTTTACGGAAACATTATGCTGTTTAAAATATGTTCCTCGCAACTGGCATGGGCCATGAGAGGCTATTTTCATACATGTATGAGAATAACAAAAAAGCCCTCCAGTTGCAAAAGAGGAATTGTAGCAAATCATCAGATTATTTAATATTATATATTTTGCAATATTAATAATACCTTAGAGAAGCTTCCTTGCTCCCAAGTACTATGGATGTAACATGCTCAACAAGCAACTGCACCTGTCACATGTAAAGGAAGTATTAACTGATTAAATCATGAAGGCTGAGACTGTCATGGTCTCTCCATCTTAACAAAATGTAGACTACAGATTTTAAGTTTACTGTTTGCAATCCATTGATAATTTTCTCCAGCATCATGGTTCATTTCTTACATATTCTTCCCTTTTAGGTATTTAACTCCCCTTAGCAACATTTGCTTTAAGGTTCTATTTCAATTCATGGGATAGTTTCAGTCTTATCGACAATAAGCTATTGGTGAATTGGCCAAGAATCACAATAAATGGCTCTGATCCAAACAAGTAAGTAACTACCTTTAAGGGAAGAGGCAAGTCATGCAAAAGTAATTTATCATCTATCATATTATGAAATATGTTTTTTTGCGTGCATGGGAAGTATGCATATAGCATTTTCTGTTTATCCAACTCTTTTATCTATAATTATTCAATTGAAAGAGGAAGTAAGAAAGAACCATAAACAATTTGATGGTTGGATCCTTTGGTGCTTTGTTCTTAACTTGCCTCTTTTTCAGTTAAAAGTCCAGTTAAGTCAACAAGAACCATGAAACACTCCACTGTTGCACAACATAATGTTGACTTTAAATTTGCCAAGAAAGTAAATAATGTTGTAGAAAGAGCTTCCTTGTATTTGATCACTCGGCTGTCTGGAGATAAAAGATGAATTAGATAACATTGGAATATCTCAGTCTTGTGTGTTTTAAACATTTCAAAGAGATCATTGTCATACGTGCAGTAATTAAAATGTGTTGATTCCTTCTACCGGTGGTTTCTTTTGCAGCACTTAATCTGGATATTCCATTGGGGCATATTGTATGACAATGCAAAGAACCAATGCAAATAAGACTAACTCACAAGCTAAAATCAAGCTAAAATTAATTCTTTAAAAGTACAATTTAAAAAATTGGCATTTGTCAAGATAGATGTATATAAATCAAAGATTCACAAGAAAAAAAATCAATATCACTATTTCAAATTACTTTCTAATGTCATTGAATGACACCACATTGTTGTTGTGGTTCAGATTGTAATAATAAACAACTGAAGATTGTTATAACTGAGTTGCCGTAATTACATCATGATAGTGAAAACCAGATGAAGGGCATTTTAATGAACAACTGGTTAAAAATAATTAAAACAAGAAAATATGTGGACCACAACCCAATTTCAATTGATGTGATAACCAAAAATAAAATCCCATCAAATGCAGCAAAATTATTCTAATTATTTTTGACAGTCTTTTATTTGTATCTCATACATACCAGCAGAAACTCCATGAAAGGTTTTAGCAGCTCTGAGAAGGTTTGTAATTGTGTAAATGAAGTTCTTTTTATGAGAAACCTAAATGCATAAAAAAGGACTATTTAATGGACATTGCTTCTGGGAAGAATGATGGGGTAAAATGACAAACCACCATTCAGGAAAGGAACATGCTGGAGTTTGAAATAAATTTTAGGTAGAAACACTAATTTGATATGTTCCCTCCTTTAATATTGATAAAATTACCATAATCCTTGTACAAGGTAAGATCCAAATCAATCTAATTTGAAATTACTTTCATCTCAAATCACTCTAAACTATAAGAAACACATTCTCAAAGACTGGACCTGAAAAAAACTTAAATAACTACTGGTAGCCTTGGAAAATAAATATGTTAGAACTTTCCATTATCCAATTAGCTACTTAATGACAGCTTTTTATGTATTTTTAAGGACACCTTTTAAGGCACCTCAAATCAAGCCAAGCTTAATCAGTCACTGCTCAGAATACTTAATTATACTGCTTTAAATTCCACTTCACTTGCCTCAATGTCCTGTGTGAGTTGCTCCAGCAACAGAGGAAGGGTCCAGTCCATAATTCTGTGGCAAGCAGGCTCTGAAAAA